AGGGTAGGTCTTATGGGGGCTTGGCTGTAGATGCTGAGGTTTGGAGGTGATGTAGGGAAGGAGCTGTATGGGGGTAACGCCTTCTGGGGCGGGAGAAATCTGTGGGCATGAACCCAGGGGAGAGCCGTATCAAAATCCAGCTTGTGAATGCTGTGGACCACAATAAAACACTTTCCTGAGAAGGCAATTGCCCCATGTTAGTGAAATGGCAGTAATGAGCAGTCAGCCTTGAGTTTTCCTTGGGAGGAGGAATGGTTACTTGCACTGGTTCTTTGCAACCCATCTTCTTGCAGCTGTGAACATGAAAGGAGGGACCAGTGCTTTGTGAACTCACTTGAAACAGCCTGCAGGTGCCTCACAAGTCTGTCTCTGCTAGTTCCAGCCGTGGTGGCCCCTTCTCTTCCTGGCACGGGAGTGCGATGGCCACCCGCTGCAGCCTGCCGCTGGCGAGGAGGTTGGTGTGGCACTGGGGGGGCAAAGCCCCAGCAGAGGGCTCAGGCGCTGTGGCGTGCAGCCCGTCCTGCGGAGGAACCGGAAACATCAGTTGCCCAAATGATGTGAGTACTGGACTTTGCGTGGACCAGGCAGCCTGGGTGCTGACCCTTATCGCTTACAGCGGGGCCACCCGGCTCCTGGTGGACTGGGAAGGTTCATTTCCCATCAGCGTGCCGGAGAGCGCCGTCTCCAGCCACGCACAGGCTCTGGAGCTGCAGAGGCTACCTGCAAAGTGAAGATGAGAAATTGTTGGGGTGCGTAGGCTGCCGCAGGCATGTCAGCTCCTCACCTCTTGGGAGCATCCCCCGGCTTCCCAGAACTGGCCGCCTGCTGTGGAAAAGGTTATCTGCAGGCAGAGAGCTGCAGTTTGCGTTTGCACTTAGGCGTAGCAGCTCTAGTCTGGCTCTACGTGTGCAGAAAGCACCTACCTTTCCCTGGGCCTCGGCACAGCCCCAGCGCGCAGGGCAGTGCTCGGCGCCCGCTCGAGACCTGCACCGAAACAATAAGAGTTGTTGCCTTTTGGGAAACACTGAGTCAGCCTGACCTCAAACAACTTTTCAGAGCAGCAACCCAGAAACCTCCCACAGCCTGCGCGAGCCGCCCGTGCAGGGGGGTGCGGAGGCAAAGGCACCGTTTTCATTTTACAATGTCTTTGCTGTTCAGTGAGTTCACGGGGGGAATAACCTGCTGCTGGCAACAGGCTGCCCATAGCTCAGGCTGGACGGGGCTTTGTAGCTGTGGTGCAAAGCCCGGCCCCAGCTGTAACGGGGCAATGACCCGCTGGGAAGCTACCTTTCCCTGGGCCTCGGCACAGCCCCAGCGCGCAGGGCGGTGCTCGGCGCCCGCTCGAGACCTGCACCGAAACAATAAGTTGCCTTTTGGGAAACACTGAGTCAGCCTGACCTCAAACAACTTTTCAGAGCAGCAACCCAGAAACCTCCCACAGCCTGCGCGAGCCGCCCGTGCAGGGGGGTGCGGAGGCAAAGGCACCGTTTTCATTTTACAATGTCTTTGCTGTTCAGTGAGTTCACGGGGGGAATAACCTGCTGCTGGCAACAGGCTGCCCATAGCTCAGGCTGGACGGAGCTTTGTAGCTGTGGTGCAAAGCCCGGCCCCAGCTGTAACGGGGCAATGACCCGCTGGGAAGCGTGGAGAGGAAGGATTTGTGGTGGCAGTGGGAGAGAGCAGAGCAGAGGGGTGGGTGCAGCGAGGTG